TTTGCTCTTCTTCCAACCCTCCACCTGGACTGTGGTCCAACTGGACCTAAAGCGACACTTCAGCGCGAAAGGGGAAATGGGGGGAGGGAGGATGGAGAAAGGGAATCAGGACGTGCAAGTAGGCCATAGGGAAATCTCGTAGTTGTAAACGCGCATCATTATTCTAAGAGCCCCTTTTAAGGTTCTACGAACCTTTTCCGGGTTGTAGGGGGGGCCTGAGGTTGTTCCCCAATGATAAGGAATCAACCCATCGAGTTTTGGTCGAGCCCGGGAGGCCAGGGTCAGAGTCATAGAGAAGCTCACGATCGATCGGAAGCAGAACAAACAGTATAAAAGTGGCAAAGTAGACATGATTCGAAGCAAAACGCTTGAATGGCAATTGTTCAATGAATTGGCTGTTTAATTCGATTTGTCAAGTGTTTCGGCGTTTCGACTTTCTGGCCATGACTTGTCCACTCAGATATGCTTGTGTTTGTGTTTTATGGTTCTATTGTGTTCCACCTCCGCTTTTTCATCGTTATGTCCACTGGTCTCGATATTTCCACATTCTACAGCTCCGAAATCTTCATACTGAAGAAATCCGGATTTCTTCGGCCGGCCTTCGCCCCGCATTACGCGTATCGTCAAAAAGGCGAGTGCCTGCGCTCGCAGAAAGAAGAACCGCACCTGAGGAAAGTCAACTGTTCCCAGCAGAGATATTTCTAGGGGGAACTGGATCACGAACCCTTGCGCGCACGGCAAGGCAGCTTCTGCTTGGACCTGAGAACCTAGCTACCCCAAGGAGACTCGCAGCACGGGCCGCGTAGGTCAGACCGGCTTTTCCGGAAGCCCCTCCCAAGTGCAGAGTTCACGCGATCCAATGCAGATCAGATCAGGCCTTGCGATGCTTCTCATGCAAGGTCCATCTGTGCCGAAACAAGCTTTTGCGCCACCCACCCGATCTCATGAGCCAAGTCCTCGGCACGCCCATCAAACAGCAGCCTGAGCCGAGGAGCCAAGACCCGGGAGCTGTGCTTGGAGCGGGCGGCCATGGAGCTGAAACTGGACGCGGAGATGCTGGCGCCCAGACTGACGGGGCGGAGCTGCGTGGGGGCTAGACAGTTGCAGATGGGTTCTCCTATGATCACGAGTTAGTTTTGGTTGCAAGATATCCACACACACCCATTCTACTTCTGTCGGCAGTTGAAGGTTTGGCTCGGCAAAACCAGCAGGATTTCTCTGGCTCAACTGCCCAAGAGCTGAAGAAGGGTCAGGACACAAGTTCTGATTTGGTCCACTGTCTCGCGTAATCTCCAGACTGGTGCACAGAGGTGACAACACGCCTCAGCACTCTTGGGGAATCATTGAGACAAGCGGGCAGCATGAGGTTTTGCATTTGCTTGACGGTTTTGATGCACTCCTGGTGTGCGCTATGTGTGAGCGCACCGTTTCAGCCGCTGAACACATATCAAACAAGTTAACATCAGGCAGCCGAACCAACCAATCTCACTGCTCCGTGCTGCTGAAAAGAGGCCAAGGCCAACTTCCGAATGGCAGTTGATGAATCTGGAGGAGCTTCACCGGGTAGTTCTTCTACTTGGAGTTGTCTTGCTTTGTTTTGGGGTGGATTCCTTTGAGCAAGTTGCGTCTCTCGCTGAAACGCTCACATCGGTGGTTTTCTGAGGCGGTCTCCGGCACGGCATTGACGACCCAAGGGCTCGAGCTGGTCCTGGGGCCTTCAGGCGGCCTCGGAGAGTCCCCAAGAAATGCGCTCTCCTTGTGTCCCTTTAAATGCCAAAAGGAGGGCGAGAAAGAAACCCCCAACTGTCAAAGTGGCTACACAAATGGTTGAAACGATGATTTCACCCGGCATACATTGTTGCCCCTTTGCTGAAAGGATGGAGATAATCAAGCTCTATGGTTGAACGTTGGCCAAGAGGCCTTGCCCGAACAAACCGAGGCTGAGCGCAGCAATCGGGCATGGGTTCAATGGGCTCTCACCGTGGCCAACACCTCTGAAAGGTGGGATTCCCATATTAGAGCATGCTATGCAAATCACTGCGTCCAGGCGGCATTTCGTGGAGGCCGAATCATTTGCAGACACAGGGATGTTCATGATAGTTGTATCGCACCATCCCAAAATGGGCACAATCCCCTGGGCGGCTCAGCCTTACCGTATCGTAGGCCCTCCAGCTCACGGTATCGCACGCGCACCGCCCCTCCAACAACAGGACCGTAGCCTCCGAGTCGGCGCCCGTATGGCGCGCAGCAAGGCCGTCAATGCATCCGAGCCCTCTCGGGCCTGACGCGCAAATTGGAAGGGCCGCCTGGCAGCATCGAACACCTGCCAAGCCTCGGGCGACCTGTCTCGCCCACAGTCCAGTCTCGTCGAGCAGCTCGCGCCGCTTGCCGTGCTGAAAGTCGCGCACGTGGGCAATTGCAGCTGTCCCGCCCGCGCCAGCAACGTCAACTCTGCAAATTACTGAAACATAACCAACCACAGACATCAAACAGCCAAGATCGAGAGCTAGCAAGCAAACAACACACCCACTGAAAACAAGCAAGCAAATAGGAAAACCCACCATCAAAGAAACAAGGATCTAAGCAACGAAGCAGCCAATCAGACAACTACTTCGCAGGCAAGTTCTGCTCTGATAAGGGGCCAAGAAGGCAATCTTTGCAACTATGCTTAGCCCTTTTGAAGGCGGCTGCAGACCAGGCCCACAATTTGAGCGCCGCAACCATGTTGCCGATCTGAGAGGTATGGTATAGCTGATATGGATGACTTGTCAGAACCTGGGAGCCCTCCAAGTCTCCAAATAGTTGGTTTCATGCCGGCTTCCTTTCGAAAAGCACCGGGCTTTGGTCCCTTGTTTTGACGCATCCCCAAATGGACTACGCGAAAGTGTTGTGCTGCTGAGTGGAGTGCAGGGGCCTGGACCCCAAAGAGCTTATTCGGACCCCATAGACCCGGAAGCTCATGAACTCATGAGATTGAGGCACCGGGGCGGCAACAAGCTTCCTGAGCGTGCACTTCCCCGCAGGCTCGGATTCACGAGTCACACGACCGCAATGTGCGGGGAGGGCAGAGGTCACTGTGGCTTTGCCGCACACTTCCCACAGATCACACTAGACAAATTGGCACACACTGCACAAGCACTATGCTCGGCTGCATGAGCCTTCGGAATGATCTTGTCAATGAGCATTCTCTGCTCACTGAACCTTGCAAATAGGATTGCGCCTTTGAGTCTTGGTGTTCCAAATCTTGCTCAGTTGCCAGAACCAACAGCAGGAGGGATTTGTGTAGCACTCACGATCCAGCATTCCATGCCTTTGGCCACTTCAGCATAGTCGAGACTATGCCTTATGCAAAACTCTACGGACATGCTCCATCCCAAGGACACAATTTACGGAAGGATTTGGAAAACGTTGTTCTTTGAGACCTGGACCCCCTTCAAAGATGGAGCATTAGGGCCCCCTTCACCCCCGGCCGGGTTTTTGTGCCAGCGCTCTGCATCGTGTGGGAAATGGCCCGGGTTCTTCGGGTCAGTTGCCTAAAACTGTGTTTTATTCCCCAGCACCTGAAAGCGATGGGGTCGTAGCCCAGATAGGCTTTCGGGTGGTTCGGGGTAGCTCTGGGTTCCTCGACTGTTGGGAGGCTGAATCGGACCGAACCGTTGCGAGGGGTGTACCTGCGTACCTTCCGCATCTGCAGAACCCATGCGGATTGATTGCTTCCCCCAGAGCTTTCAAGGAATCAATCACGACTGGAAATATTTTTGTACTTTGTCCAGAGGGCATAAGCACATGAAGTGTGCATTCCATATTCCATGCTATGTATTGCCAAAGATCTCAAAAGGCAGGGGTTCCTCACTGCAGCCAAGTTAATATTGAAACGTCAACAGTTCCAACAGCGCGTGCCTTTGTTATCCCTACAACAAAGGCTGAAGGCTTTTTGATTTGCTGGGGGAAAAGAAAGGGGCCCTTTGTGCTGAAATGTGAAGAGAAAAAAAACAGAAGACTCACAGTCCCTTTGAGCAGTCCAAAGGCAAGCCCTGTTTGGGATCAGCGCAAAGGCCGCGCAAACAGGCTGCCTTTGCTCTGATCCCGCGGACCTGTGGTTTTGCATTCTAGCCTTGCTGTTCAGAAGTTGCATCAAGCGGTGACAAGCGAACGTCCTTGGTAGGGCAAGCTTGGTCAGCAGCACAAATGCGGTGCTTCTGAGGTACAAGATTTCACGTCCTGTTCAAAGTCAAACGGTTATTCGCGCGAGTCAGGGCCTAACATGTGGCTGCAGCCGTCCCGCAAAGTACTTCCACCTGTCATTGGGTCAAAGAGGCCCGCGGTGTCAAACATTGATGGACGCCCATGAAAGTGTTGAAGCGGGGCCAGGTGTGATTGTTGTGGCCCGCACGCGTGTTGTGAACAAGAATCGAACACGAGGAACCCAAGCCCTCTTCATTTCGAGTCTGCGAAATCACCATGTTGGCGAAGAGGCTTTTGAGTTTTTGTCCCGCCTTCCCACCCCATTTCACTACTTGGCCATTGCCTGCTTTCGAGACTTCGTCCCAAGCAGGTGGCTTTTGGGTTCGTGACCATGCGGACCAAAGATTGACTGGTCTCTCCAAAGCGCAGGCTTTCCCCACCTGCCACGGCCAAGGTTGACAGTGCGATCGAACGGAATGGTTGTTGGTTGCTTTACATCACAGGCCGCAGTGGAAGGAAGTGTATGGTCTGAACAAGGTTGGTAGAGCTGTGAGTGATCTTGACTCCTGCCAGTGTAGAGCATAGTTGGAAGGAGGTGAACTTAGTCATCATCGGCTAGCTTGAGAAGAATGCCATGACTGCATTAGTGTACTGCAGACCCTCAAAACGCAAGTTGGCTGATGATCGCACAACACCGTCCCACACGCAACATTTGTTTGGCCTACAAGTGCTTTCCATCGCGTGTCATGTTTGTTGCGGGTTGCCCTGCCAAATGGTCCCCAACGAACGGAAAGAGACGGCCTACAATCCGCGGCATTTTGGCAGTACGGAAGGCCTTCCGTGTTGCATTTGTTTCAACAAATGCCAAGGGCGAAACCCTGAGCGATGCCCTTTTTCTAGATAACTTCGAGGGAGAACGGGCGAACACCTGGGATGGTCTAAGGCTTCTTTTGACATGTCTTCGAGGTTTGTGGACCATCTAAATATGTCAGGGAGCAAAGCGGACCTGGCCGGGCATCGAAGCTGAGGCGCCGCGCATGCGCCTCATGGAAGCTCAGGGATCGCCAGGCGGGCTGTTGATGTCGACCGGGGCCGTGGCTCAGGGGTGCCGATGGGGGGGGCCCATGGCGGGGGGGGGGGCGATGGGGGAGGGGGGCCATGTAAGGTATCCAGGAGTTAATCATACACCGGCCGCCGGCCCCCAACAACAGGCGCGAAGCATTCGCGGACAAGAGTTGTTCAGCGCCACCTTGCTCCTTTGCTCTCCATGCTCGTCTGGCCGGCAGCAAGAGTCAATTTCCAAGCAGCACCTCCATTCGAATGGCATGTCTTTTGCCAGCACGCCGTCTTAAAACCTGGGCCAAATAAGAGTGCAGTAGTATTTACTTGCTTTGCCTTGTGAGAAGTATCTCGCCTTCAATCCACACTTAAAGTTTTACTTCTAGTAGATATGTTGGTGTGATACGCACGTTGGGTTCCTGAATCGGTGTTCTTTATATGAACAGATCTTATAGTAGCATATGGGCATTTGTTTTCGGCCTCGTATTTGCATCTTGTGACTTGTGTCTTTGTTTGCTTTCCTATGATGTGTCCGTGACAAGTAAAGTGAATTAATATTTCTCACTTTATCTTCTTCTTTTTTTATGAAGGTCTGTACATATAGACTTGTGATTGGGATTATTTGGGAGGTATTAAGTATTCTATGATTGTCCATATCTTTTGAAATGTAGAAGCTTCAATAAGCTCGTGACTGGGTTTGGTGTCCTCATAGTCATTAAGTAAGTATCCCATAGTACGTGTATAGCATACTTATTCCAAAGTACATCATAAACTGGCCACGTGCTGGGGGGGTCGACGAGGATGGTCTAAGCCAACGTGTCAACAGGATGAGTCAAGGACAGTGTTTCGATTGGGTAGACGTGCGGGGCGACTGACCATGGCTCAGAAAAGCCTAGGTAGGATCTAGGATCGCCCCTTGATTGATGTTTGCGGGGTCCCAAAGGTTCAGGCCTTAACCATTCTACACAAGCTGCAACGAGCTCCGGCAGCACATAGGCTCACCCACGACGGGTTCACCTCCTGGGCATCCCTTAGCTCAGGCCAGAGTGCATTTCGTCGCCCAACTGGAGCTGGGGGTTCCCCACGTGCCGCTTTCAGGTGTTTTGCCCATGGCACTGCCGGGAGGTCCAGGATCAGGCACGGTCCAGGGGACTCCACTTGACTCGGTTTCTGTGGGGCCAAACCAACAAGTGCGATGTTTGCTCTGATAGCCACTGGCAAGCACGGGGGTGGGGGGGGTTGATTGCAGCAGACTCTGTGCAAAGGAATGGGGTGTTCGGAGCTGAGATGAGATGTTTGCCAGATGAAGATGAGCGGTTTTTGCATAGTAGGCAACCAGCACAGGAGCACCCCTTTGGACAGAATCGGGTTTGAGGACCGTTGCTTGCATTTTCCTGGGTGTTTCTGAAGCAGCAAAACGACTTTCGTTTTCTGCAGGGCCATACGCGAAGCCAAACCGGAGGCCTTCCAAGTTTCGCGACCCTCTGCCTCCTGCGAGAAGAAGTTTTGATCGTCCAGCTGATTGACTCCTTTGGAGGAACTCCTGGTCTGCACGGATTAGAACAAACGCCAGCTGTATCATGAAAATCTTAGCAATGAACCAAAATATGATAGATAGCTTGGGAGATCTGACCAGCAGTTTCTTACGTTAGTCTGGCAAGTTAAGCTGCCTCCAAATGGTTGATGTTCCTCTTGCTTTCCTCTCAGTATGGAGACACCATGGTGTCTCAGGGAGAGGCATCTCTCGAACGGGCACGCGATGTCTGCCAAGTCACAAAAAGAGGCGTGAAAACATAGTGACGCTTGAAAGCCCCCGTTAAAGACAGTGCAACTCGGTGCAAATTGCACCAGGGTCCCAAGGCCCTGACACAGGTGGCATTGAGGTCGTGATTTTGTCCCAGTTGGCACCTGTTCGATGGGTTCTTGCTAAAAATGGTTCACCCCGCATGCGGTTCCTTCGCCTGAGTCACGGGCCTGGGTGGATCAAAATGGGTTGCTAACCTACTCTGTTGAAAAGGGAGGTTGTCAACATCATGCTACCTGTACTGAAAGCCATTTTTCACCGGCTGACATGAGAAGACCCAAAAGAGGGCGTGTATGCATCTGCCTTTCAGGATTGAGATAGACACAGAATATCGGCGTGTTATTTGCCAGGGCCTGGCTCGACTTGCGAATCTTCGGGGGCTAGGCCCTGGCATTGTGCCGTTTGATGGCCCTGAGGCTTGAGAATCAAGTTCGCCAAGGCCAGCCCACGACAAGCTGTTACTCCCAGGAGCTCAAGTTGTCAAGCAGTATCCCTGCCGAAAAACCGGTGCAAGCCTTGAAGGTGCACAACATAATTGTTCATTCGAATCATTTGACAAATGCGTTGTTGTTTGTGTGCGTGTGGGCGCGTTAATTGGTGTTGTCCTTTAAGTGCCAGCTCCGAGCTAGATAACTCGTCAGCCGCAAAGCTGCTGAAGATCCAACCAAATTGATCCTTTGTTCGATCCAAGCAAGTTCCAATTGGTTGTGGCTCAGAATTAAGGAGCTAAAGTTACGCAGCTTTAGCTTTGAGTCTTTGGCTCCATTAACCAAGATGCCATGGTGCATATGTTTGAGCCGCAGCCAATTGATGTCCAAATTGGTCCAGGGACAGAGGGAATGACCCTTATAAACCATCCAACTGCTGATTTCCTTGGACCAAAGCCTGGGTTCATTCAACCTCATTCCCTACTTGCACCAGCCCAGCGCCCGGCCAGGGGTGGCTGCAGTACCCTTCGGCGCGCCCATGGCCTTCGCTTCCACCGAGGAGGGGAGGGGACGATCATAGGCTTGGGGGTTGATCGATGTGGGTGTGGGTGTGCTTGGAGGGTAGCAATGTGTTGTTTGTTTTCTTTCAGGGTATCACTTGTTTTTTTTCTTTTTATTGGGGTTGTTGTTGTTTTTAGGGCAAGCTACAAGGAAGCCAACCATGTTGGGGTTCCCCTATTTTTACACAAAGCCGGATTCCTGGCCGAATGAACATGGGTATCCCTGGGTAAGTCTTCGCAGTTAGTGGGGAAGTCCACTCTTTCGCTGATCTGCTGGGATCTTCAGGTCTCACATGTGGCCAACCTCTTGGGCGAGGAGAAGGCCGGGAGCTCCAAACGGGGGGATCTGTGGTTTGGTTCCCGGTGGGTTTTTTGGAGAAGGACGTCGCAACCGGTTTTGGAGAAAGAAAAAACGAGTTCGACCTCCCTATGTTGCGGCGCGATTTATATATTTGTTTCCAATTTCCGGCACCTGTTTTCTTGGGCAAGGGCCCGGACCCCCGAATCGTACACTTGTATGGGTCCCTTGGTTTCCAAACGGGTGTCAAATGCGAGGCGTTGACAGCCTGGCTGGCTGCCGATGCAGAACGCAAAAAACATGTGCGGCTGTATGATAGAAGTTGCTGAGACAGCGAGTGACCGCAGCTTGACATGATTGCAAGGGGCATCTTCGGATTATGCCGACATATTTTGCCTCCGGCTCAGTCCGTATGTATGCATTCTCCTGCATTCCTCTGTATGTTGTGTATGTTGTGTGTAATGTCGTCCTCTCTCCTGTAGTGTAATGTAATGTATGTAATGTATGTATGTAATGTATGTGTATGTATGTATGTCGTATGTATGTATGTATGTATGTATGTATGTATGTATGTATGTATGTATGTATGTAATGTATGTATGTAATGTATGTATGTATGTATGTATGTAATGTATGTAATGTATGTATGTATGTATGTATGTATGTATGTATGTATGTATGTATGTATGTATGTATGTATGTATGTATGTATGTATGTATGTATGTATGTATGTATGTATGTATGTATGTATGTATGTATGTATGTATGTATGTATGTATGTATGTATGTATGTATGTATGTATGTATGTATGTATGTAATGTATGTATGTATGTATGTATGTATGTATGTATGTATGTATGTAATGTATGTATGTATGTATGTATGTATGTATGTATGTATGTATGTATGTATGTATGTATGTATGTATGTATGTATGTATGTATGTATGTATGTATGTATGTATGTATGTATGTATGTATGTATGTATGTATGTATGTATGTATGTATGTATGTATGTATGTATGTATGTATGTATGTATGTATGTATGTATGTATGTATGTATGTATGTATGTATGTATGTATGTATGTATGTATGTATGTATGTATGTATGTATGTATGTATGTATGTATGTATGTATGTATGTATGTATGTATGTATGTATGTATGTATGTATGTATGTATGTATGTAATGTATGTATGTATGTATGTATGTATGTATGTATGTATGTATGTATGTATGTATGTATGTATGTATGTATGTATGTATGTATGTATGTATGTATGTATGTATGTATGTATGTATGTATGTATGTATGTATGTATGTATGTATGTATGTATGTATGTATGTATGTATGTATGTATGTATGTATGTATGTATGTATGTATGTATGTATGTATGTATGTATGTGTATGTAATGTATGTATGTATGTATGTATGTATGTAATGTATGTATGTATGTATGTATGTATGTATGTATGTATGTATGTATGTATGTATGTATGTATGTATGTAATGTATGTATGTATGTATGTATGTATGTATGTATGTATGTATGTATGTAATGTAATGTAATGTAATGTATGTATGTATGTATGTATGTATGTAATGTATGTATGTATGTATGTATGTATGTATGTATGTATGTATGTATGTATGTATG